TGACAAGAGGTTTAAGAAATTAGGGTAGCACCATTTTTGGTAATAGTTACACTTAGACCCGTTTTATGTAGTAAGTTTGCACCAATTAAAACGTCTGAAGTTATTTCGAAGTCGGGTAGTACGTGAAACAAAATCTCTATAGGAATATGATTAATCACGCATAATAGCTATTAATGTGCTGGTAGATATAACAGGGAACGAACCTATTCTACATAAATAGTTCACAACTTGATTCTTATACCCTGGAAATTAATAAAATAGAATTAATTTTATTTTTAGAATCGAAATAAAATTAATTATTTTTTTATTATAATTGATGTAGACATTATTTTAACCTTAATATAAATTATAAATAAAATAAAGGTGTATTTAAAAGTTTATTTATTGTATTTATAAAAATTTATTATTTACATACACTATTATATACTCGCGATATAGGTCGCGCGCGATAAATAGCGCGCTATGAGATCAAATTTTCAACACACGTCCTCTCCCAACAGCGCTGCTGCTAGAACTAATTGCTAGGAATAGGAGTGGTCGTTACAAAACGTAACTAGTTACTGAAACTATCTATTCACACAATAGCGGGTAGCGGGTTATTGCAGTGCAACGAAACTATCTATTACAGTAGATGTTTTACTCAGTAACACGATTCACGTTTCACGAATCACGAACTAGCTATCAGTAACAATAACAAAACTTTTATTCGGCTATTTTCGCGACGCATCGGCGACGGCTTCGGCTGTTGAAGTAGAAGCACATGAGTAAAGAAACCGACTCTTTACGCTGTGGTAGAAGTACCACCGGTCGTCGAATGTCGAGTGAGCGCGGGTGCTTTTGCATTTGACCTATGACTCTATTCCCTTCGTACGTTTACGTTTATCATCTTTTTGTAAGTCTGGATACAATGTATGAAATTCATCATACTCGAGTTATTTTACATTAATATCATGGACCTAAGCACTCCTTTTCACTTTTTTTAGGAGGACAACATAAAACAGCTGCCGCTAACTTTATAGATTCATCCTCGCTGTCGCTGCTTGTCATATTTCTCGAATGACAAACCTTTATGGAATGACCGAAGCGAGGCGTCCGAAGACGCCGTCTCGACTACCGTGCACACCGCTAAGCCGCGTCTGACGGACGCGTCCGATAATTTGTTCTCAGCTTAATACTTGATAGCGCCAAAGCGCCATAGCGCAGTAGCTCCATGGCGACTACTTACATAACACGCGCTATGTGTTATGAAGAGATAGCGCGCTATAATATGGCGCTATGCGCTATATTAACCACCATTAGTTCATACAATAAGGAAAACGTAATAACGACTTAGGTGTGCTCTGATTGGTCGACGATTTGATTGGTCAATACTTCACTAAACAATAACTTTTTATTGAATTCATTAGGCTACTTAATAAGTAATTTCAATTCGACAATTATTTATTTCTACGATTTAAAACAATATTTAAGTCAAAAGTTAAAAATTTAAATTGCTGTTATTAAATTGTAGTATTAATAATTGTACACTGTTGATTATTATAATTTATAACAATTAAAAGACAATGCAAAGTTTAGGCTTCGTCAACAGAAGATGTCCTTGCGGCAGCACGGCCATCTCTCTCTCTCTCTCTCTCTCTCTCTCTCTCTTCATATATATATATATATATATATATATATATATATATTTTTTTTTATTCTCTACATAGTTCTAAAGCTCGTTTTTGTGTATCTGTGGCACTGACTTCCATATATACTAGTACGCTGGATTGAATATATCCTACAAAACGTTTGTGCCGCTTTAATGCGCCGCCATTGAGTGTACCGGGAACTAAATTTGATATCATTTGGTTTGCTCAAAACGTCTAAGACTATTTTAAAGTTTTAAACAAGAAAAAGAGTGTGTGTTGTGTAGTTCGGTTGAATTTCATGTTAGTAATATCGCATAAAGTATTATTAGTTACAAAGATGATATATAATTCCTTACCAGAAGGGAAGTGTGATGACATTCCACAAGTAAGGGGATTTACAGTTTATATTAAAAACAAACACTATTTGATAGTATAGGCTCTTAAAAATAAATAGATTATTATAAATATATTTGAGCGACATAAGTGTCAACTACCCTTTTGTTAGACGGGACCACGTGAGAGTATTCTAAGAGAACTACTTTTTTGTTAACATACTTTTATTTGATTGATCTGTATGTTTGTATGTATTAATTTTTTAAGTATATTTGAATGAATATATGTACGTATGTAATAATATTTTGTTTTTTAAATTTAAAACTGTAAAGTTTATAACTGTGTGATATTTGATTCGCACTTGTATTAAACAGGTCAGTGGTCTGTGGTAATAAATGGTGTCAATGTCCGAGGCAAAGGACCAACGGCTTTACGTGCTTTCCGCGGCACGGGGATGAAACATCGCCAGTTTTCTGATTCCGGGTTGCTACTGAGAATTTTTTGACAGAAAATCCAATAAAAGATTTTGCCATACCCGGGTTGAACCCGGGACCATTTCATAAGCAGTCGCGACTACGGTCACCAAACCAATGAGGTAGTCACTAATCAGGATTTTGAGAGTGAAGCCATAGAGAGTGTGCCTGTGCTTGTATAAAATACTCGTGCACTATAATTCTGTCCTGCACCCATGGATAGTATCCGTTGAGAATGGCCGCTCTGACCTAAATTCGATCATTAAAAAAAAGGTACTAATGTTTGCTAGTTTGGTTTAAATAAAACACTACGTAAACGTATTTAACATTAAATACAAACATTTAATTGTCCAAAAATATAATATTTCGTATCCAAAAAATGTCCTACACAAAAATATTTATCATTATGTCTGCGAAAATTTGTTTTTCCAATAACTAGACAAGCATGTGATTAATAAAAAATATAAATAAATAAAAAAATCAAAACCTCATTAACAACATATATATATGTAAAAATATAAACCATAACAATAATAATCTTATAACTAACTGCATAAAAATTCATTTAGTCGGTTCCGCGTCAGTTGCCATTAAAAAAAGTAACTTTGTTTATAGTCTGTGGAAGCTACCTATTTGTCAATATTGCTCGTAGTCACAAACCAAAATCACATGACACTTAAAAGTAGTCACTAGGGTACCCATTGCACGTTTGTTGCAGTTAAATAAAAAGGAGAGTTCAAAATTGTAACAACACTGTAACAACGTTACCTACCTATATTTTATATTATGCTTGTCTTACGAAGAAATAAATCACTATTTTCACAGACATTCAATTCAAAAGTCCAATCTAAAAACAAAACAAATTCGATCTAACATTCAATTATATTTACAAAATATAATTATTTTTTATACCTATATAATTATACATACATTGTGATAAGTTTTGTACTATTATTCTCTGTATTTAATATATTGTGTGTTTAATACAAATTAATATACTTTGAAATATAACTTCTGCAGTATCCTTAGAATCTAAGCTCTCATTTGTTTTTTTATTCATAAAAATAGTTTTCATAATCACTGAAAAAATATCAAAGTAAAATAGTTTTGTTCAAATCTTCCAAAAGTTTCTCAAAGTTTTTTTTTGTTGATTAGCTAAATGAATTTGTCAAATTACAATTAAATTACATTTGTGAGTAAAACCGAAGACATGAAACCGAGGACATGACATGTTTATATTCATATTTTCATATATATTTTCACTTTGTCTTCAGGTCAGTTTTAAAACTTCTTGGGGTTGTTCGCATCTCTCGGCTGCACGTGTATCATTACTTTTATGCCAAGACCTTGGCGAGCGACCTCGTACGCCTCAACCGTTTCTTCCAGGGAAAAGTGATGCGTCACTAGAGGTTTAACGTCGATCTGTCCACTTGATATCATTGCAAGTGCTATGGGGTATCTGAAATAAAATGAAAGTTGTATCCTAATAATATAATCATATGTCTGTAAATTTGCATAATATTATTTAGACGTTTGGAAATGGGTGAAAACTGAATTAAATACTTTTCGCCTTTTTACTTCGTAAATAAGGTTTCTAGTAGTCTTCACTACAAATATTGTCAGCTAGAAAAATCTTCGTAACTGGAGGAAAGCATATTTACTTTCAAATATCACACAGTTATAAACTTTACAGTTTTAAATTAAAAAAAAATATTATTACATGCGTACATATATTCGTTCAAATATACTTAAAATATACAAACATACAGATCAATCAAATAAAAGTATGTTAACAAAAAAGTAGTTCTCTTAGAATACTCTTACGTGGTCCCGTCTAACAACTACCCTCTTGACACTTATGTCGCTCAAATATATTTATAATAATCTATCTTTTATTACTTAAGCCATAAAGCCAATCAAGTTCTAAAAGAGTGCTTTTTTATAAAAACTGAAGTGACTATTAGAGTCAAAGAACACCTGCGGTCAAATTCAAACAAAAAAAGCTAGTAGATGCGTTATCACTTCAAAAGACTAAGACGAAATGACTCTCAGCTCTCAGTCTGTTATTAAACTGGCTCTCTATACTCTTCAAATCAGAACTAACCAGTGCAGGCACTTCTGCTTAACGGTAGGAATAGGTAAGACTACCCTCACACTTACCCAAACGGATTCTAAATGATAGAACTTTTTTCTGTTAGGAGGTAAGTAAGTAGTCTAAATAGACTACGTAATTAAAGTAGCTCATCAATACAACATCGGTTTTTTAAATTATTTTCAACAAATTTTCATCACACATTGCAACCGTTTTACGCTAACGCAATCCACCTCATATCATCTCGTTGATGTCGTAAGTGATGGTAGAGGAAAATGAAAGATGTAGATGTAGATGGGCAGCAGCAAATCCCCGATAACAAACCAAAATAATAAGAAACTGCGGTTGCCAATCTATCTGCCAAGCGTGATAATTATAACAAAAATCCTTCTATGACGCAATCTATGCGAGAGGCCTATGTTCAGCAGTGGACCTTTAATAGTCCGTAGGTAAGGTAGATAAAAATTACGCAATCTAGCTTTGAGCTAAAGGTAAACCTAAATCTCTAATACGACTTTGATATAACGGTGTGGTGGGTAGATGTGATTCTGGTGTAACAGTGCGGTGGGTAGATGTGAGTCTGGTGTAACAGTGCGGTGGGTAGATGTGAACCTGGTGTAACTGTGCGGTAGGTAGATGTGATTCTGGTGTAATGGTGCGGTGGGTAAATGTGAGTCTGGTGTAACAGTGCGGTGGGTAGATGTGAGTCTGGTGTAACGGTGCGGTGGGTAGATGTGAGTCTGGTGTAACGGTGCGGTGGGTAGATGTGACTGTGGTGTAACGGTGCGGTGGGTAGATGTGAGTCTGGTGTAACGGTGCGGTGGGTAGATGTGAGTCTGGTGTAACAATGCGGTAGGTAGATCTGAGTCTGGTGTAACAATGCGGTGGGTAGATGTGAGTCTGGTATAATAGTGCGGTGGGTAGATCTGAGTCTGATGTAACGGTGAGGTGGGTAGATGTGAGTCTGTTGTAACGGTGCGTTGGGTAAATGTGTATCTGGTGTAACAGTGCGGTGGGTAGATGTGAGTCTGGTGTATCAGTGCGGTGGGTAGATGTGAGTCTGTTATAACAGTGCGGTGGGTTGATGTGAGTCTGTGTAACAGTGCGGTGGGTAGATGTGAGCATGGTGTAAGTACGTGGCGGGTAGATGTAAGCCTGGTGACTGGAGTCAGGTTTTGGGTACCGACATGTTGACGTAGCGGAAGATGCCGCGGATGTCGACCTCGCGCGAGACGGTGCCGGCCAGCGGCACGGTGAGCTCGGCGTCGCCCATTCCCACTAGCACCACCACACCTCCGGACTTCGTTACCTTCACACAAAATATATTTATATAATTATACCTTACTGTTTGCCGCGACTTCGTCCGTGTGAAAATTGGATTTCATAAGTTATTACTTTTCTGCGCAGAACCCTAATTCTTGCTCTTAAATAAAAGTAATAGCACTTTTATTGAGCTTGAATTATTCCTTATAATATCAGCTATCTGCCAGTGAAACTCCCGTCACAATTGGTCCACACTTGTCGGAGATTAGCCGGAATGAAAATACGGACAGAAAATTTTAAAAATTGTTTTTTTTTATAAGTATCGAATATACTTTCATATACATTTATTAAAAGTTGTTATTTTGACATTACAATGAGATACTCATTTTGTTCATTTGTATACATATTTTATTAGTTACTAGGGAACCCCCGGCCTCACCTGGAGATATCTATGTGGCTTAATAATATAATATATTTATGAGGATTGGGAAAAGCCGATCCGCAGTGCCAGTAGGTATTTTCAAAAACGCTATCTATCTGTGTCACACTGCTCGCTCCGTATGCGTTGCGTTATCAAGAATCAAAACGGATGCGATAAATAGAATGCAGTTGACATGAAGGTTTATTTTATGAGTAACAAGCAGGAAAACAACCTGCAATTAGGCGTATGGCCAAAGTTTAAAAGGACTGTTTAGAAGAGGATATTTAGAAAATACAACTCTGAGGCATTTGACATACAACTTTGAGGCTCTTTCTTGAGAATCGTTACGATAGTGATGCATATACGCTCGGCATTCCGAACGTATACTAAACGAAATTTTTATTAAATCGAAGTAGCAAAATAGAGTCACCCTGCAGCTGTATGATGGTTGTAGCACGAATGGGTCGGCTCGACCGAGGAAAGACCACGCTCTCACATAATACCGCCGTAAAATAGCAACTTAATGCTGCTATTTTTCATATGGCGAGTGCAGAGAGTCGCAAACCCTTTTATTGGAAACGAGGCATTCCATCTTAGTCCTCAGTCTCAGTGCCAACGCATCTGCATTTTGATTCTTAATCGAGGTTAAATGTAGATGTCTATGGGTCACAATTTTTTTTTCCCTTTTTTTTTATGCGTCGTTTTTTTTTTGTTTCCCATTATTCCATTTTTTCTTATTTTTTTTCATATTTCTTAATTAAAATTAGACTATGTTTACGGGAGGGAAAACGTTATCGCTTTTTGTTTGAAAATTTACAGCTTTATAATCCTCTTAAGATAATCATTTATTTTATTAATTTTTAAAATTAAAAAAAGAATGTAAGTTTTTCGGTTAAAATATAGCGTAGATTCCTCATGGCGTTGCTCTCTCTCTGTTTATAAGTTCTCATCAGAATCGGTTCAGCCATTCCAAAGATTATTAGCCCAAACATACAGACAACCAGACAGAATTCTTCAGAAAATTCAGAAAGGAAGATGTATTCAATTCAACTGTATGTACTTTTTTATATATGTTATCTCAGCACTTTTTTCTGGGTGAACCTTTTTTTGATGATTCTTTTTTTATTTGAAAGCTGGTGCTCGTGGGGTTCCATAAGACCTGACCAGTAGTTTTTATCAAGATCTGAACAGTAGTTTTTCAGTGATCCTTAATAATACGTATTTAATTGACTTCGAATACATTGATGATATTCTTATTTTATTTATATTTAAGTCGGTGGTTAAAAAAATATTAAAAGTATAAAAAAGCTATTATTAAAACGGTTTTTTCTTTCAAATAGTTCTACCTTAATAATCAAGTAATCATTATTATCAAAGTTGCACGATGTATCTGTAATCTATGCAAATAGATGTGACCTGAGGGTAATATGGTCACTTTCTTATAACTCTAAAACTACTAAAAGCTATTATTTATGTGCTAAAAGTAAAACTCTAAAGCCTTATTATCATAGAAGGCTATATGATACGATAGCTCTTCATCAATCAATCAAATAATCAAATAATAGAGAATCAGTTAAGTAGTTAGTTTTTATTAAGTTAATTTTCGAAGTGTTCCTAATTATTGCCAAAGCTTATTTGCTATTTTTTTATTAATATATTAGTTATATTATACGACTTTGTTTTTGTATCTATCCTTCTCCTAGTTTTGTTTTTATAGGGCGGCAAAACTTAAGGTTATATCTTAATATTACCGTCATGTACCTTACAAATTAATAAAATGAAGTGTTTGTTTGTAATGTCAAAATAACATCTTTTTACTAAATGCATATGAAAGTATATACGGTACTTTAACAAAAAACAATTTTTAAATTCCTTGTCTGTCTGCTTGTTCCGGCTAATCTCCAAAACGTCTGGACCTATTTTGAGGGTACTTTCACTGGCAGATAGTTGATGTTATAAGGAGTAAAAAGCTACTTTTATTTTAGAAAAATAATTAGGGTCCGCGCAAAGAAATTAAAACCCTTTGAAATTATGAACAAAATCCGATTCAAATAAAGAAGTTAAAAGTTAAAATTACAACCTGTATACGTCCCTCTGCTGGGCACAGGCCTCCGCTCATTTCTGAGAGCGTTTTAGGGCAAGGAATTGGCCGTCGCGCTGCCCCAATGCGTGTTGGCTAACTTCACATGTATTGGAATTTTTATTTCATATTTCTCAGACATGCAGGTTTCCTCACGATGTTTTTCTTCACCGCCGAGCACGTGGTAAATTAGTAATTAACGGTGCCGGCGGGGATTGAACCCCGTGCAGTGGTAGCTCAGTTGATTAGCGCTCTCTGTAAATTCGGCATTTCATTGCATTCGCGAGCAAACCGGGTTCGATCCCTGCCGCCACCAATAGAGAAGTATAATAATAAATTACTAAAAATTATTCTATGCTAACTAAGTCGCGGAATCAGTTATCAAAATTAACAGATAACTGGTTTTACCAGTAAACCTTCGACTTTACACTATATATTCTTGTCTAATTATTTCCTATATTTACACCAATACTTCACACTTCATAAAACTAATTTTATGGATTTAATCGTGTTTAATTTAATTTTTGTAACTCTCAAAACTTCGTCAATTAAAAAAGGTAAAATCAAATACCATAAAATCTGTAGTTCTATTCCATATGATCTTGCTATTCTTATATTAGTGACAAAGACTGCCGAAGGACTTACCTAATTTCAAAATGTAGCATAGTTAAAAGAACACTCACCAGCAAAGCCAATCTAACGGTGGCTTGGGCACCACTCGCATCAATGGAGACATCAGGATAGTTTCCTAGCAGCTCGTGGATCTTCACCACCATGTCTTCTTCGTTGGCATCGCGTTTTACTAGGATCGTGTGGTCAACACCAAACTGCTTCGCGAAGTCCAACCGAGGTTGGTGGATATCTGGAAATTGTGTATTTGATAACTTAATTAGCAAAACGTGTACTATATGTTTGATTTTAATAAATAAAATTAACTGGCTATTTGACAGCACTTTATTCGCCCGAGGCCAGAAATCGATATAAAAAAAATTCTAGTTTACTATTACAATTTAAGAAAAATGGATAATTAAATGAAGGAAATTAAATGTTCTAATCTATACAAATAACTAAAATCGAAGAGTCTGTTTGTAATGGCAAAATAACAAATAGCTGTTACTGAATGCATATTTATAACAAAAAATATTTTTTTAAATTTTTGTCCAGACAAAAATTTTAAACTGTTTAACAGCTAGCTGTCCGTTTGTTCCGGCTTATCTCCGAAAAGGCTAAACTTTGACAGGACTTTACTACTTTACAGACAGATGTAGTTGATGTTATAAGAAAAAACTCAGGTTAATATCCAAAAAAAGAATCAGGGTTCCGCACGAAAAAAAAGTGAAGCCCATAAAATCCAATCGCAATAAATTACACGCAGACGAATTCGCGGGGAACAGCTCATTAAGGCGACACCGTGAAAAAATACACCTCCTTTTATCGAATAGTATAGGACTATGACACCACTAACGAAAGTGAGATTTTTATATAGGTAAATTCTGTCATTTGGTTGCTCAAAACACGATTGTATAATTTTGACTGGATATAATTATTTGCGAAAACACCTCTAAAAACATATAGTTGAAATTACAACGAAATAATTTGATCTATATGCTTGGGAACACTAAATATATTCTCATATTTCACTTGCTATTATTTTATATTCATAACATCAATATTCATAATTTACTTGCTCATTATTTTGATAACTTAAATCAATAATTTTTAAGAATATTAAGATTTGACAATTTAAGTTGTGCGGGCGTACGCAATTTTAGACCTTATAACGGCGTTTCTTCAAGTAAGAAAGTTTTTATGTATTCACTGGGATCAGTACGGTGAAGCGTCTTTAAGAAATTTTGTGAATATATTTTCAACCATAACACAAGTGTAGAGCGCCTATTTTTATTGATTTCCTTTCCTTGCAGTGAATGGACGAACGGAATCGACGCGGTTGAACTTATTCTTTAATATAAATTTTAACTTGAGTTGTGCAGAATTTTAAGAAAATTTCCTTGACCAAAGTGTCCTGACGGTGTATCGGTAAAGTATGGCGACCCTATAGCCATAAATTTACAACATGTTGATAATTAATTGTACCGATTAAGCCTTTGTTTCTCAAAATATGTTATGAAACCTTACAGAAGACGCAGTCTCCCCTGTATAATTGTTATTGCTGGTCAAACCATGGTGTCATACTTTCAGTCAACAGACTTGTTTTGATCATCCTATAAAAGCCGTTGCATTTAGAATTATATTCTTAATAGTTCTCATCGTAGTAATGTAGTCACCTAGTTTTAATAATAATAATAATAAATATCATCGGGACGTATTTAGTTGTTGTTAAACAGCTTCAGCACCGCTCCC